AATAATAAGCCAAATCATGAGAATCGGTGAAAAATGGAAACGATAAGCCAAAAAATAACCCGCACAAAACCCTTACCGACTGTTTTGTTCTAAACAGGTAAACAATACGTCATGATAATAAAACGTCTACGTCTACTTCTTTAGTTCAGCTATTTGGTGTTTAAGTTTGGCGACTCAAAAATTCAACCAAGAGTAAGCTTTCTAACACGTGACCAAGCTTGCCGGATGCGGGTATGCAATGGGTGCGCAACGATAGTACCACCTTACAGAGTATGAGTCTGTTGATTAGTGGCGAGATCGTCCAACTGGTATCTCGTCATAGATCATCGATTCAACTCTTTTTGGCGCTCAGAACTCAAATATCATTTTCTGTTTAAATTCAGCGGGGACAAGTTCTTCATTATGAAATTTTGTCGGCCCCTTCTATTATTGAGTNGAACTCAAATATCATTTTCTGTTTAAATTCAGCGGGGACAAGTTCTTCATTATGAAATTTTGTCGGCCCCTTCTATTATTGAGTGTGGTTGGGGACTGAGTACTAGGTATTATTAGACGGTGCTTGGCGTGTTTTTGTTTGGAAGGAAGGAGAAGAAGATCTGATAGTTTGAGGGAACTCAATCTACTCCTTGTGTAAAATATAACACCACAATGATATAACAACGCTGGTCCTTCTGTTGACATTTCAGTGTAATGGAATGTACTTCACTGAAAACCGAACGCTTTTTAAGAGACCGGGTGCGTTTACAAAAACCATCCGGTTGGAAATTTCAGGCATAAACATGAAACAATTAAATTCGACGTTGTGGGAGAGGGAATCGTTATAAAGTATAACCACATCAGCTAGAGAGACTAAAAAGAGCAGAAAAATAGTATCACCTCAAATCAGAGCCCATATTTTCTGAAGCTTTCCAAATGGAATGGCGCGAACCATTTGATTTTCCAATAGGAATTTCCGGTTTTCCCATGTAAATGGTAAGTACTCCTGCAGTACTTCCAAAAACTCACCCAGATTGACTCACTCCTCTAGATTTTTTAAGGGTAGCTCCTTACACCACGCTTGACACTTTCTCCCACGGAGCCAACAACTTATGATCGGTATTCAGTTATTCCAAGTTTATGATACAAATGCAGTCAATGTGATATAATTTATTGATATGAAGACTGACTTGAGCTTATTTTACTTCCGTTTGTTCCAGGACTGCACGTTTAATAAGTTGAAGTCTGATACAGCGATCAAAGTCTCATTCCAGTGAAATATGAGAGTCATAGGTTCTAGAAAGTGTAACAGGTGGTTCTCCAAGTTTAATGGTAACGAGTGCAGTGGACCGATGACAATCGAAGCTGTTGTGTACAACAATTGGCCATCTGGGGATCCCAATCTGCTTCATCATCGATCATTTGAGGGATACTGTGAAAACTTTTTGTTCTCAACGACCGCATTTACCAAGAAGACGAATAATATGTCTCAGGCGCATAATGTGTCGAAA